TGTTAACCAATGTCATAAAACAACATGTGTACTACTGTTTCATGAGAAACTATTTGTTCTGTAAGCCTTCACCTGAAGTACAATAAAATATAAAAACAAAACAACAACAAAAAACCACAGTGTGATATTTACCAGGGGCAGGAGAGAGAGGAAGAAGGAAGTCACTGCTTAGCAGAGCACTGAGCTTCTGTTCAGGGTGATGGAAAAAAAACATAATGGTGAAAGCTGTACAACATCACGAATGCAATTAATGTCACTGACTCATCTGAGGAAAAATGTTGAAATAGCGAAATGTTTTTTATATGTTTTTACCACAATAAAAAAAATGTCCTAATTGAGACCCTGGAGTGGCCAGTGGCTGGGTATCATTTTTTTCCTTCAATGAGAATAAAAATGTTTCAGAGAGACTTTCCTTGATGGTAGCCATAGAATCAGAGACGGCCCCTGACTATGGATGCTCCGCAAAGACTGCTTTTGGTGATGGTACCACCACCCCAGCAGCCCAGCCACGTGTACTTCGGAGCTGGGTCTCTTGAGTAACTAACTGTCTTCAGATAATTAAATTGGCCCCGTGCGCCCATGGGCGATGCGTTCTGGCCGTGTATGGACATCATGGTTATGACAGGAAGCTTCACTTTCATGACTTCCTGTTTCACTGGACTTGGGCCCCCATTTGGACAACTGAGAACGGATTATCAGAGCTGTGTCTGCAACCTCAGCTCTTTTGTGCAGTTAAAACGATAATGTCGCCATAAAAAGTGCAGTTTAAAGAAAGGGAAGAGGGAAAGAGCTGACTGGCAAGAGAACAGGCCCGTGCTCTCTGAAGTCTCTGCACCTCAGATGGCTTGTACTGCAGCTGCTGCTCCCTGGGAGAGCTGTTCTCCACACAGAAGTGCAGACCAGTCAGGGACACAAGCTCTTTCCTGGCAGATAAAACCCACCTTTAGATCTTGGTAGACATCACCACTTTGCTCCCTACACCCCACTGGGTTTTATTTTGGAAAAATAGTTTCAGAGCTGTTCAGAGCCAGCTTGTTTTACTCTGTGAAAGAAATGTAATGGGAAGATTTCTAAACTACATTTCACGGTTTTTTAAGGTGTACCACAACTGGCCAAGGCTTCAGATCTTTCTAGGTGGGGGCTAAAGAGGAGGCTTTCTCTTTAATGGAGATCTAAATCCAGGTACATTCACTACATGTGCACGCTGGGCCTGAAAAATGGAGACCCGTTGGTTGGCAACCTTAGATTCTCAATGCCATCCCAACAATTGCTAGAGGAGACAGTGAAGAGGGACATGTCTTTCTCTGGCTCATGGACCTCACCTTGTATGTGTGAGTGTTCTGCCTGTTACACAGGTGCTTCCTACGAAGGCAGGTGAGTGAGTGGGTTCAGGCCATACTCTCGATGCACTCTACAGCCAGACTCCCTGGAGGCAAGCCCGCCCTTACACTAGGTATGCAATTCTGGGCAAAGTACTTAGATTCTATGTATGTTACTTTCCTCGTGGATTTTGAAACAGCATCTACGTCAGTAAGCACTTACTGATGAAGTTCAAAGACCACAGCCTTCAGTATGGATTACATCTCAACATAAAACAAAAATCCTCACAACTGGACCAATAAGCAATGTTATGATAAATGGAGAAAAAACTGAAGTTGTCAAGGATTTCATTTTACTTGGATCCACAATCAACATCCATGGAAGCAGCAGTCAAGAAATCAAGCGATGTATTGTACTGGGCAAATCTGCTGCAAAAGACCTCTTTAAAGGGTTAAAAAGCAAAGATGTCAGTCAGAGGACTAAGGTGCACCTGATCCAAGCCATGGTATTTTCAATTGCCTCATATGCATGCAAAAGCTGGACAATGAATAAAGAAGACCAAAGAATAACTGATGGCTTTGAATTATGGTGTTGGCAAAGAATATTGAATGTATCATGGACTGCCAGAAGAATGAACACATCTGTCTTAAAAGAAGTACAGCCCGAATGCTGCTTAGAAGTGAAGATGGTTAAGACTTCATCTCACATACTTTGTACATGTTATCAGGAGGGACCAGTCCCTGGAGAAGGACATCATGCTTGGTAAGGTAGAGGGTCAGCGAAAAAGAGGAAGACCTTCAACAAGATGGACTGACACAGTGGCTGCAACAATGAGCTCAAACACAGCAACGATTGTGAGGATTGTGCAGGACCGGGCAGTGTTTTGTTCTGTTGTACACGGGGTGGCTATGAGTCAGAACAGACTCAACGGCACCCTGTAACAATCTACATGATAGGGCTGCTGTGAGGGTTAAATGATACCGGGCTTAGAGATGTGCCTGGCCCCCTGTAAGTGCTCTTAGCTGTTATCATCGATCTTCACAACAAGCCTGTGCGACAGAAAGCAGCGTGGACACTGATGGCCAGTTCCTACATCAGGGACCCGAGAAGCATGTGGCTAAGTGCTCAAGATGACAGAGTTGGAAGTGGACTCTGTAATGATGAACGGCCAGAAACAGGTAAGAAAAGGGACAGATTTACTCGAGTGAGGTCACCACCAAGAGCTAAGAATGGCACACATTTCTCCCGGCCTCTCATGTTATATTTATCAGAATACGATGATTTTATAATTTCAAAGCTGAAACCCTAACGGGTAGAAGAGAGGACAGCAGGAGCCGTGAAAACGATGGCAGGGTCCATGACAGCTGAGTGGAAAGACCGCAGAGAGGACAGATACCATGAATTTGGCTGTGCTCATGAGAACCTTGCTGAACCACTATTACACCTAAGTAGTATTCCTACGGCTCCTGACGCCTGGAATTCAAAATGGATCACCCTGTTTCAGAAATGGAGTCCCTGGGTGGTGCAAATGGCTATGCGCTCAGCTGCTAACTGACAGGCTAGAGGTTCGGATCCACCCAGAGGCACCACAGAAGAATAGCCTGGTGATCTACTTCTGAAAAATCAGCCATTGCAAACCCTATGGAGTACAGTTCTACTCTGGCACACAAGGGGTCACCAGGAGTTGGAATCAACTCAATGACAACTGGTTTCAGAAATGGGGCTTTATGGACATTTGTCACAACAGTTTGCTGAACTCCCTCAAGTGAGAACTTGAACACCAAACTAAGCCCAATTTTCATTTTCCTAAGGGCACATTGGAGCCCTGGTGGCACAGTGGTTAAGAAGTCGGCTGCTAACCAAAAGGCTGTCAGTTTGATTCTACCAGCCACTCCCTGGAAACCCTGTGGGGCAGTTCTACTCTGTCCTATAGCGTTGCTATGAGTCAGAATTAGCTCGACAGCAACCGGTTTTCTAAGGGCACATTGAGTGTCCCTGACAGGGGCAGAGCTGGTACAAGCTCACTGTTCACCCTGCAGGGGTTTACTTTCCAGCCGAGCAAAAGTATTAAAAGTATTAGCGGGGACACTTATTTTGTAGAGTTAGAGGGAATATTTTGAAATACTTGTATATGGAATAAAGGTATAGAGCTTAGAATTCCAAAGTATTTTGAGTAAATAAGGCAAAGCAAGAGAATGGTGCCTCTAAAGCACAGAACAGAAATGGCAATATCTCTTAATTTTATTCTCTCTTCCCGTAACTGCTGCTGATGGAGGTTCAATTAAAAGATAAAAAACTCAAAACTCGCCAACACAAAAGAAAACCCTTCCTCTCCAAGATCAAGGCTCTCTGCTTGGTTACTGTAACGTGACCTTCTCAGAACCCAGGTAGGTGATGGTGTCTGATGCCCGTGCCCTGGACGCGTCCTGACAAACAACTGCAGTTCTTCCACTCACCAGGAGAGGGCGGCTGGAGCTTGGGCTGCTTCTTGGTGTCCCCGGTGCTGAAGACTTCGGGCGGGGGCTCCTCCCCTCTCTCGATCTTGCACTCGAAGGCAAACAGGTACTGGATGTACTGCTTTTTCAGAGAGCTGGCTGCACTGCTCGAAGTGCCAACGTTGAGGTTGGTTGCCAGCTCACGCCACTTCTTGTTTTTATTAACCTAGCAAGAAAAATGGCAGCATCGTTAGTTTGCAGCAAAGTGGCTTCTTTAAAGCCAGGAGACAAAAGAAGCGCTTAATGTCTTGGTTTACTTTTCTTTTCTTTTCTTTTTTCATTTGCCTCTTTTAACTAATGCTCATTACTCCCACTCAGTAGTGCACAGACAGCATTTACAGTCAGGAGACCATTAAGGAACCTGCTGATGGCGACATAAAAGCATAGCTGGTGGAAGCTCCTCCCGCGGCATCTCCAACATCTCCCGCTCTCGGAGCTGGGCGGCGCACGCTCGCCATTCACCACCGCGCGAAGGTGAGCTCTTCCTCTCTCACAGCCCCACCTCACCTCTGGCACTCTTTTGCAATTTAAGTGTTTGAGCATCGATATGAAAACCAATGCTTCCTTCAAAGCGCCAGAGGGGTGAGCCTGCAGTTCTGGGCTCTGCCCTACGTCCCAGGGGTTCTGGTGGCGCTGGCGGTGGGGTAGAGGGGACGGGTGGTGCGGGGTAAAGTCAAATGAGGCCTTGGCCAAACAGCCTGACTTGAGAACCTGACACACTGCCCTCTAGTCTGCTGACGGGCCCTATGGGAGCTGCCCGCCTACCTGCGTGGCCAGCCCTTCCTGGCCCCGTGCATCACAGGAGTCTCGGGGGTCCCGCTTACAGTCCTGCCGGGGAGAAGAGTATTGCAAACGGAGAAGCAGGGATGGCAAAGGAAAAATCCCGAGATGTTACAAAAAGATTTTGGGCATTAGTTTAACGTTTTGGTTACTGCTCGGGAGTAGAGTTATGAAAGGTCACACACACAGGAACGGAACGTGAAGATCTGCGAATTACCTGGGGAACGTTTTGCCTGTTGACGTTCCCATGTTGAGTAGCACGGGAAGGGTGAGAGTGATTTTTAATAAAATACTGAATTTTTGGATTCAGATTCTCTCATAGGGCTCCCAAGGTTCATTCACTTAGTACTCAATGGTACATAATTAAAAAAGTGCTGAATGCTCCTGGCAATGCCCGATGCCTATATACTCTTTAGGGATTTCATACAAGGCTGCAAACAAGAGGCCTGCGACTGCTTCAGAACGGTAAGCAGAGCATGCTCAGGACGCCCTGAGGAGCAAGGCTGGGCGCTGGCTCCACCTGTGGCTGCAGCACCTGCGCCCAACCCCACCTGATGCCCCCTGGGTAGAGACTACAAGGGTGTGAGCCACCGTGTGAGCCAGCCTCTCCCCGTCGTGCCGCCAACCAGATGCGCGCAATCCTCGTTAGCAGCCAGCGAGGACTCTCACTTGCTGACCCAACGTGGTTACGTACAGTGTTGAAATAGCCCAAGTAAGGTATTTTGACAATATCTACACTTAACTTGATGAGCAAAATTCCATTGTTTTAGCACTCCTGGAGATTCTAAAAAGTCTATGTTGAGAGCAGGGAGCAGAGGCGAGGGGTGAGGGGTGTCTGGGAGCAGAGGCAAGGGGCGAGAGGTGTCTGAGAGTGGAGGGACGAGTCAGGGCATTTTAAGCTGATCTGTCCCTTCACTGTCCACCACTCACACTTGGTCTACATCACACAATTCAGCATCTGAATACGCCCTGACTCAAGCTCTGTCCCCCGTGCAGGTCTCACTTCCCCAATGGGACTGAACACGGAAAGGCAAGGTGAGGACAAAGGCCCCCTGACCCCCAGAGTCACACAGGGCGCTGAGCGTGGGCAGCCCTTGGGCTGCAGCCTCAGATGCTCCACCTGGGCCAGGGCGGTGCTGCTCCACTGGACCGGGACCTCGTATCACCTGGGCCCAGAGCCGCTCATTCACTTAATGGGGAAGGGCCCAGGTAGTGATGTTTTTAAAGCTCTCCAGGTGATTCTGTCTCGCTAGGCTTGAGGATGACTGGTACATGGGAAGAGCTCAAGTTTTGGTATCAGACAGTCACACCTGCCTCCCCCTTACCCCAAGAGTGCCCCTGGGCCACATGTTTATACTTTGTTCCCCAGGATTTTCCTCATCTATTCTTCGGGGCTAATAATCCCAGCATGGAGCCCCAGTGGCACAGCGGTCAAGCGCTCGGCTGCTAACCAAAGGTCTGCAGTTGGAATCCACCAGCCACTCCTTGGAAACCCTATGGGACAGTTCTACTCTGTCCTACAGCGTTGCTATGAGTCGGAATCGACTCAACAGCAACGGGTTTGGTTTTCTGGTAATGACCCTAGCACCTTACGGGCATTTAGACGAACAGCAGCAGTAACAGGCGTGAAGCGCAGCGCCCAGCACACAGCAAGCCCTCACACCCTAGTGCCCTTTCCCCAGGCCCATCTCAGGACATGTCCATGCAAATGAGACTAAAGCTCAGGATTGGGATTCAGGTTCGAGTGTGCACCCAGGGTACACGCTTTAAGGCGGCGCTCCCTCTCAGCACCTACAAGTTCTGGGTCGGCACTGGCACCACCTCGAAAGTGTGGGGACTCCTTAAATTCCCTCCGAACTGCCTCTCTTCTCCTGCCCCACCCCAGTCCCAGCTGTGCTAAAAAATAACAACACTGACCTTTGCAATGTGGACCTGGTTTTAGAATCATGACTTAATTTTTCGGAATACAGGGAAACAGTGAATTCAATTTATATCTGATCTAGATAATTAATTTAGTCATTTGTGAAACATTTCTGGGGTATTTACTATGAACTCTTGGCTGCTTCCATAGAATTCTAGAGCTGTAAGGGGCCTTAAAGAAAAGTCTGGTCCGAGTGGCTCAGTTTATAATGAGGGAATCAACGGAGCTCCGTATAAATGACCTGCCGAGGTCACACTGTGAGTTGGGGGACACAGGCAGGGCTCCCAGACACTCTCTCCTACAGCACGTAGACTTGTTCACGGCGTTTTCTTTGTGAGAAAAAACTTGAGCCCATGTATTCAAAGGTAGCCACTGCAAGAGCGTATATTTAATGTCTCCGTATCTGCTCACTCACTCATTCACACGTTCCTACCTGCGCCAAGCCTCCGATCTCTTTGACGCATACGTAGAGCCGGAACAAGTCCAAGGGCTTCTTCCCCACTGCAGGCAAACTAGACACAGGGGAGCCTCTCTCTTCCATGAAGGTGAGGTATCGGTCCACCCACAGCTTTCTCTCTGGTTCGTTCCCCAACTCATACACCTTGGTGATCTTTTCCCCAGTGGTGGTGGATGAGCTGGACTTCTGGTGCCCAGGAGGAGCATTTGCAGATGAGCACGGGAGGGCAGAGGGAAAGGGAAAAAGGTGAGAGAAAAGTAATGAACTAGCATGTACGAGAAGAGAAGAAATTAAAAACTACTGCTATCACACAACAGTCAGGAATGAAGGCTACTAGTTCAGGCACAAACAGTACATTTCCTTAATTAAGAATTTACTTTGACTTTAAATGAAGGGCCCAAACTCCCCCTCTTATACACTTAAAAAACAAAAACAAACAAACCTCCCCCCTTTTTACTTTATTGGTCTAAGCGTTGAATCTCAGAAGGCAAGTTTTCAATGATGCCTCACATCATTTTAAAAACAAAAGGGTGCTAACCGATAGTCCCATCACAGGGAATAAACAACTCACATGTAATACCAGAGCCCTGAAGATGACATGGGCTCCTACTTCCTGTGAAAACAGGAGTGACTAATGAGCGTCTTCCATTAAAACTCTAAATCATATGGAGGAAGAGCAAACCCATGGGACTTGATGGGAAACTATAAGCTAGGTCACAAATCACAGGGACCAGTGGTGTGGGCTCCATGCTACTTTGGGAGCTTTTATAAGCGAACGGCCAGTTAAAGCTTCGGCATTCACTCATGATAACCAACTTTCCCTATTTACGATTCTTGAACTTCTCTGCCAAGGGAAGGGGCTCTTCAAGAATTATTTTCATACATTTGCCAAGCAAGCATGCTTTAATCATGAAATAGCATGCTATTTCATATCCCCAGCATCTCTATGGATAAACACATATATGGGCTTTCACACACGTGTGTTTATGTTGTCGTGTGGTTTATACTGATGCTCTAATTCTTGGTTCTTCTATGCATCTACTTACACCTTTATGTTATTACACTAAAATGTCAAAAGCTGCTGTTTCTACCCACTTGAAGCACACCTTCTGGGCAGGTAACACTTTTAGCCCTGAAAAGCCCAGCTGTATCTTTTACTTTCTCTTTTGTCTTGATATTTGTAACAATATTTGTATATCTGTAATACTTGCAGTGCCAGGTTATTGTGCAAAATGACCTCTTAGTTCTCAATAGAGAATTCCGGGGAAGAATAATTCACTTCATTTACGCATGCTTATTTACTAGGTTATCATTTAGATAAAAATAATTTTAAACATATTGCTGATATTTTTGGGGGGGGTTTAAATACGATTGCCATTGAGGTCAGATGTCACTTTGTTTATTAAAAGGCACCCCAGGAGCAGCAGGGCCTGATGCCCGAGGATGAGACAGACTGAGTTGTCATGTGGCAGCTTGCCCCAAGGGATGTGTGAGTCTCCCAAGGTATTCTTGCTGAAATTTTAAGCCTTGGCTATAGAAATCCTGAAGCACAAGATTTTTACATCAAATACTGTGATAGTGAATTTTACATGTCAACTTGGTTGGGCTGTAGAGCCCACCAGTTGGGTCACTAGTCTAGTGGCTGTTATGATGTAGCTACATGTGATTAAATCAGCGGGCCGCAGTAAAGAAGATGGCCCTCCATGATGGCGGTGGGCCTCATCCGGTCAGATGAAGGCCTTAGGAGCAAAAAAGAAAGAGAGAAAGAGAGGTTTCCCTAGGGTGTATTTTATCTCTAGACTATAAATGGACATCTTGCCAAAACTCCTTCACTCGTCACTCTTCCTGTCCTCTGACGTATGGATTTTGGGACACAGGCCTGCAGGAGTCTCTAGCCTGTCACCTGACCTACAGGTTTGGACTTGCTGTGGATCAGCCACCCACAATCACGTTAGCCAATATTCCTTAACATCATCAATCGCTTGCTGTGTATAGGTAGCTTATTGTTCTGCTGCTCTACAGAACACGAAGATAAATATACAAAAATGAGTGACAGTCGATGTAGATAAAAAACAGTGTGATCTTTTAGAATTTACTTTGGGGGCAAGAATGCCGAATGGAAATTGCTGAAACATTACAACAAGACCTTATTATGGTGCCACAAATGTTTTCCTTGCATGTGATTTAATTAAGTCTGTAAGTACATTTTTCCTCAAGTTCTTTTGGGCAGATTTACATTTCTGCAGTTTTTACCATATGCCTGGGAATATGTGTATGTGCATGTGTATCTGCAAATGTTTGTTTTTATTTTAGGGTGTTTTGTAACAAAACAACATTGGTCCGTAATACACAAAGCGTGGCATGTCTTTAGATTTAGTGCGTTTCAGACCTGCTGTTAGACAGGCTTGATTAGGGAAACTGTTAAGAGCGACTTTAAGTATCAAATTCAAGTTCTATCTGAGAAAGAGCAGTTCAATATTCCCGAATTGCATATATTTGCGTGCTTTGATGGCAGAGATAATCTAGGCCCTTCATTTACAATCTCTTTCGGTCCTCTGCCTGATTACTGTCTCATTCCAAAAACTGGCCATTTTCTCAGAACAGAGCAATAGTCTAGCATTTTCCTCTACTACTGATCATAGCTTCTCTTGTTCTTATCTACCACTGGAGATGGAATTTGCTTGTAAGTTCTTAAACACAGAACAATTTATGGTATAGCAAGAGATAAAGTAAAGAGAAATATTTAGAAAAAAAGTGATTTACAATTTCAAGTATAACTGTGTTCCAGTCAGAAAATGAAGTGAACAGTTCAGTTTGCCTTTTTTTCTTAAATTTAAGTAGAAAATTGGATTTTGATATTCATTTCCTACTGGGCTCACTGTATAGATAGCATGACTAGTAAGTTAAAACACAGTAAGTATCTCAATTGTTCTTTGTAATTCAGAGATCGGCAAGGTGGAGTTTTTAAACATACAATATTCAGTAAATTATTATTAATGACTGTTTTAAGGTTTTAAAGCTATTTTCAGCCTCTGAAATTCTCCCTCTGAGCCAACAAAGGTTTTGAAAGTTAAATATGAGTTCTAGCTGTTAGTCGGAGAGTATTCCTGATTCAAAAAATGCTTTTCCTACGATTAAAAAAAGAAAACCAAAAAAGCCACGGTATATTCTGGGAAAACAAAGTGCAACGCTGGCTGCCTTCTGAGACTCAAAGCCAGTAACCCAAAGACATCAAAATTAAGGAGTTGCACCCTCCTTCCTATGAGTTCTGCTGAACCCATCCAAAGCGGTGTACATTTGACATTTCATCTCAGTTGCTGCAAAAGCGAGACATACATCTACAGAGAAGGTAACTGAATGCCGCCCCCTCTTCCTCTGAAAAGGAAAATGCTGGTTACACTAGCACTCCATGTGAATTTTACAGACATCTACTGGAACAACCAACTCTTCAAGCCTTCGACTCTATCTGTTTAAAGCAGTTAATGGATAATTAATAGCAGCCTCCTTTCTGGGTTTTGACTAGATTGCCAGAATCCACACAGTCAAGTTCTTCATCCCTCCAACTTGCTTTTCTTGAGCTGTGCTCTCAATACCTCGTCTTATAAAAATTAGGGTGTTAATTAAGCCTTCTTGGCAAGTAATTGCATTTTTTTTTTTTTTAAGATCTTCTGATTCCCTATATGAATCTAAAATAAAGGTTACTACGGAACCATTACTCTCTTTTTTTATGGCACAGAATTAATTTCTTTAGTAGGGGAAAAATAAAAAAAAGCCCAGCTTGATAATCAGAAAAACATTAAAGCTAAAAAAATTCCCTTATACTTACGTTACCATTTTTTAAATATATGTCATAGGTAAATCCATGCTTAATTTTAAGATTATCAGCGGTATTGTGCAGGATACAATTTTTCTATCTCAACTGATTCGCATGTAGGTACACATTATTGATCTAAAGTAGCATTCTAAATATTTACATGCATTAACACTTCTACAACTTTTTTTTGGTAACTTCAGACAAATGGATTGCAACAAAGCAGGGCTGATGTTATGCTAAGCTATGCCCAGATTGTGATATTTATGTTCTCAGGAAGGTAGTTTTGAAATAAGATGTTTCAGATAAACTGCCCATGAAAAGATTTAGCTCAGGAGCCAAACTTGGCCTTTCTTCCAGGGCTGCTATTAGTTCCCACATCAACGGAGAAGTAGCTCGTTCTTACAATCTTTTATAAGCACATGATGAATAAGACATATAAACAAAGCCACTTGTGTGAAGGAGTTTGGACCCAGTCACACAGTCCACATGCTCTGTAGAGAGGTGCCGTTACATTCCCAGAAATCAACTTTACTCGTTTTATTACTAAGATCGTCATAAATCAAGAAAACCCTCTCATGGATAGATAATGAAGGAAAAGTCTTATCAAACAAACCAACAAGCAAGCATTAAAGTAGAATTCATTAATTACCAAAAAACCCCAAAAAAACAAAAACAAAAACCCAGAGCCACTTACAGGGCTTGACGGAGTCTTTGGCCAGCCTGGGCTGCTAATGCTATCACTTTCATCTCCGTGAAATGAGGAGATGCTAGCAGAGCTGGGGGACATTGGGGAAGGGACTGGCAGGTTGCCTGGGGTTGGGGGCTGAGAAATACCCTGAGAGCTGTAGCTATCCTGTGGTAGAGGAATAAAAAAAAAAAAAATGACAAAGGTAGGGCAAACTTCATTTAAAATAACAAAAAGCACATCCCGTTTAACAGACTAATTTTTTATATATAATATATATATATAAAGACATGTACAAACAAACACAGAAACACACACACGGATAAAGGTATTGAAACAGCATTCTTAATTAGTATCATTTGGTCAGTTTGCTGGATGCTGGATAAGGCAATAAGCCACCATGCTTACTGGAAGCTGACATGGAATGCTAAGCATGGGTTACCCCTTATGAAAGAAAGAAAAGAAAAAAATAAAATAAAAAAAAGCTGTTCACCTTATTTATCAAATAAGGCAGGAGAGCAAAATATTAAGTATGTTGTTGTTGCTGAGGCGGCCAAAACAGTAAGCTATAAACTGAGGCAGAATGGCTGCAAGTGTCAAAACCAGGCAAGCCCCCTTACCTGTCCCCACCCCCAAAGCACACGTCTTAGGTTGGCCTTGTCCCTCCACCCCACCCCCAATCATGAGTTCAATGCCATAAGAACTAGTAACTTTCAGCTCCACATCATGACGGGGGTGGGCAAGGAAAAGAAGACTACAGACACGCTGCAAGAAATGAAGGCATGCAGAAGAGAAGAAACCACAGGGAACAGAAAACACAAGCCAACACCCGTGGAGAGAGAGGACATGGCAGCTGTTGGCTTGGCAGGCCCGACACCACGTGCGGAGGGAGGAAGTACCTTTGACTTGCTCTCGGGCTGCGGGGGACCTTCTTCTTTGCCGTCGGTTTTGAGGGGCAATTTGGACTCACCAGGAGACATCATATCTGCAAGACCCATAGATGCTAATCGAAAACAGGAGAAAGAGTTGAGGATTATACATGTGGTTTGTCAGACCGTGTTCCCACTAACACAAGTTACCGCATGAAGCTTGGGGCACTGGGATTCCCCTTGAAGGAAGAAAAGGAAAAAGAAAATCGCAACTGAGAGCATACACATTTCTGAAACCTCAACAGCACCACATTCTGGGAATCCTTTTTTATCTTTAAAAAAAAAAAAACAAGAAAGTAATCGTTCTGTATACTCAAGACCCAAACCACTAAGGGTCACTTTACATCAATACTGCTTTTTCAAAGTTACTACCGCTTTAGGAAGAGCAGGTGACAACCGGAAATACACCAAATATTTAAATTGCTCATCAGGTATAGAAAGCAAATCTTGGAGAATCTTTTTTTTTTTTTTTAAACGTGGGGACTAGAGATTTAGTACAGGCAGTCCCCGAGTTAAGAACGTCAGACTTAGGATTTGCCTTTAATGTTATGTACAGTTGCCCTCACCCTGAAACGACTGAACCAACCCACACTCACAACAAATTCATCACAATCACCTTCACTTGCTGCACGGGCAGCTTTTTACATCATCGAAAGGCTTCAAGCCTTTTCCTGCACTAAAGGCTGAATAAGAACCGACTAACCTCAAATTCAACTTAAAGGCACAGGAACGATCTCCTTTGTGACTTGGGGACTACCTGTACCTTCTTAATTTCCTAAATTCACATAGTTTGCAAAATCCTCTGACATTTTATATTGCTTCATTCAAAAATCTTATCTATCACATGTGGTTTTGTCTACAATAAGGGAAGACAATCAGGGCGAATGAGTTCAAAAACAATTGAAGTTTTTGAAGAAAAGGACTTCTAATGATTTTGTGAGGGGGCTGTACCCACTCTCAGCAGCTGCTCAACTCCCCAGGCTGGCCCAGGAGGCAGCACCACGGTTCCAGGCAAACCTGTGCTCTATCTCAAGGCTCAGAAACCCAACCCACTCCATCTAGGCCTTAGAGTGAAAGGTGGTTATTTACCAAAGAACAGCTGATTCATACACATTTATTGATACAGATAAGGAGCTCTGGTGGCACCGTGGTTAAGCGCTCGGCTGCTAACCAAAAGGTCAGCACTGCGAACTCACCAGCCCCCACTGTGAGAGAAAAGATGTGGCAGTCTGCCTCCATAAAGATTACAGCCTTGGAAACTCTATGGGGCAGTCCTACTCTGTCCTATAGGACCGCTACAAGTCAGAATCGACTCGACAGCAAAGGGTTTGGTTTTTGGTGTTATTGGTGCAGAAACAGGCACTGTTTCGTTCTGTTATACTTAAGGTCGTCGTGAGTCGGAGCTGACTCAGTGGCAACTAAAAACAACCACCGCAAATACACATGGACATTTTCAGGTTAAAAATAGACGTTTAGATTTCTTTTCAAGGGAAGAACAAGGTGACGAGGAGCCGGTGTAGACATCCAGGGAACAGCAGCTGAGTTCCCACAGAACCCCACCGAGAAGACCACCTGCAAAGCACGGGATGCTTGGGGGCTGGGCTGGGAAGGACACAGTCACACAGATGTGAGTGGAACCAGGACCCAGAGTGAGAAGAGGTGGCCGTGGAGAAGGGAGAGCGCAGAGAACCATGAGCCTGTAAGTGAATGACAAACAGAAAAGCTTCCTATTTCAAGTAAAATACACCTGAGGGCTCGTGAACAGGACCCATTTTACACTTGCAAATCAAAGTGCTCGCTCAACCACAGCGGTGCACACACAGCATAGTGCGCCAGGAAAAAAAAAAAAGCTTTAAAAAAGGCTCCACAGATTGCCCACTACAAAATGATTATTGCACATATTCATGTATTACTATGTTTTAGAAAATAATTAGTTTTAATTACAGCAGGGAGAGAGTGAGCAGGGCTCTGGCGAATAAGCTGGCAAGCTTTGTGGTGCTAATTTGCTAATATCTTTAGCATCACTGCAGGTTGAGACCATAGGTCCTGCCAAAAAAGCCCCCCATGGCCACGTGCCGTGCGTTTACATGGGCACGCTCCGTGCTGCGCTCTGAAACGCCTGTTTTTTCACGGGTGCACCGGCTCGGCTCTCCAAGCCCATTTGCAGCCCGGGCAGTGCTTAAAAGTCATCGCAACGCACACAAATCATAATTGAGATGTTTTTCTTTTTTTTTCAAATCACTTTCAATACTTAGGACTTTAAGAACTGGAACAAAAAGCTTTTTCAAGTGATGCAGCTGCAGAGAAAAATCTATTGGGATCAGCTAAAAATGCTGTTATTTTTGTGAATGTGTGAAACCTCAAAAAAAGCAGCTGAGAGATATTACACCAAGAAGACCGCCTTGTTCAAAGGAGCGATTGCTTTCGTGTGGTTTTATCTCTGGGGTCTAGCAAGCTATGAATTAGTAAATCCGTACACTAAGAAACACCCTTTTTAAAAGAACAGAAGGAAAAAAGAAAAGCACGACAAGTGTGAAAAAGGGGCTTACTGATGAAATCCACATGTCCTTGCTAGTTGGTCAGAGTGGATTCCAGGGAATGGCAGCAAATAGGATTCCAAAGAATGTGAAGTCATGGCCACACGGCCTCTGAGAAGTCCTGCTTCTCCAAAGGTTATGCCTAATTGGTTTGATGGTAAACTAGGTAACCAGATGGCAGAGAGTCGACTCAGACTCATGGCGACCCCATGTGTGTCAGAGCAGAACTGCACTCTATAGGGTTTTCAATGGCTGATTTTTCAGAAGTAGACCACTAGGCCTTTCTTCCGAGGTGCCTCTGGGTAAATTCGAACCGATAACCTTTCAGTTGGTAGCTGAGCATTTAACCATTTGCACCACCACTTAGGGACTCCTAGTTCTGCCAGTATTTATGTAAATTATACCTATTAATTTTGAAAAATATGAATAGTAATAATACCCTACTTCATACATTAAATGCTTTAATGTATACAAAAAGCAGCTTTTAACCATAAGGACCAATACGTATTATAGTAGTTAATGATAATGATTTACACTGATTTAAAAATTAGACTT